TAAAAATCATTAAAAATAATAATTATAATTATAATTATAATTATTATATTTTAGAATAAATTATACGAAATTAAAAAAATTCACTACCGCCACACTACTTTTATGCAACTCTGTTTTTCATTTATGTATGTTTTTCACAGTACTTCGGGGGGTTTCTACTAAAATGTGCTTTAAACAAGGAATACTGTGGAACCCCTCACCTTCTGTTTCAGATTAATCCGCTCAGTCTCACATACATATGATCTACACGCTCCAATTGATAAATATACCTTCCTATTGGAAACGTTAAAATTATTTTTATAATAATAATTAATATGATGATCTTTTTAGCTCAATTTTTCATGCTGCTTCAGGCCCTTCTAATATTAAACCAGTCCAAGTTTTGGAGGGGTCGAGAAAATATGGTTTGTTTACATTTTTATTGCTTTGTGCAAATTAGTTTTCTAATACAAGTGTGTATTCCTTAGTTCTTCAAAACCAATAAGGAAATTTATGGTTTCCTTTATGTTTTATCCAGCAAGTCGTGTTCAAGAAGACAATCTGCTAGGATGAAGCACAAGAACCAGAAACTGACTTCTCTTTGCTCCGACACTGCATTTTTCTGTATAATACGTTCATATAGAACTGCATTTTCTTTTTGTTCTACCAGCCTCAAATTGTGTAAGACTTTTGATACATTTGCAGGTCCAATGTGTGATACTTCGGCAGAAAAACTGTGTAGGTCTTAAAAGAAATACTATGCTCAAAGTAGCATTGAAATCATACAAATCTAAACAAATCTTTGACATTATCCTTAAGGTAACATTGAAATCAAATCACACAAATTCAGACAAATCTTAAAACAGACCCTGTAGTGACATTGAAATCTAATCACACAAATCCATTAATCAAGCAACACACACAATAATAACACTTGGAACCATAGATAAAGCTCACTGAAAGTTTCCGAGTATCCTTTCCCTCGAAGTAGCAGGAACGAAATGTGGAATCGTTCTCCTTTGTGGACTCCTTCGGATTCGATGAGTCCTCTAAACCTTATAGTCACGAAGACAATTAAAATTAATGTTAATAAATGGGAAAAAAATCATGGAATCTTAGCATCCAACGGTAATTGACGAGAATAATGGCTCTTTAATTCTTTAAAGAACTTACCTGAACATTTTAGATTCCACAACTAATCACATTTCCAGTGAATAATATTGTCGCATGTAGAATTTGTACACCTGAGAATTTCTTTTCGGCAACGTTGACCACAGGACGAGCAGTTAGGGTAGTCCTCAGCCTTCTTAAAAAACCGAAGATCATGATGATGTCCGTGAAGAATTTGAGAAAGATTTTGAGATAATGTGATCCCATCCTTGAAAAAAGGAGATTCTCCAAGAATACAAATGGGATGAGCAGAAGTATCACAGATTGAACAATAATAATACTAGATGATTGAATCTCTTTTTCCTTCACATATGTCACAATAACGATGTTTTGAATAATTATTATCGTCATGATAGGTAAGGTTGAGCTGGTGTTGATCAAATTTGTGAAGAACAGAAAGTGGTAACAATAAGCATTTGAAATCCAAAGTAAAACTGCACTTTCCACATCTGAATCCACCCCAGTACCCGGGGTCGTTGCCACAACCATTGCATCGCTTCTCGCTGCATTTGGAATCATAAAACAGGAAGTGTTGTGTCCTTGAAATTCAATGACATCAGGAACTTTAGCACACCTTAAGCAAACATATAAGAAATCTACGAAAGCGTAGAAGAAACCACTACAAAATCGAGAGCACAAGAGACAGTAGATGATGCTTTTGGAGACGACAGCGGCGGTAGATCGACGAAACCAAAGACGATTTACTCTTGGTAACTCAGCACAATTTTTGTGAAGACAAAAATGACATTCTGATTCGGAACAATAATAAAACAGAGTTGAGACAGGTAGCATGCACCCATCACATTTTCTATCAGTTTCGTCCTCCATCTTGTCTGCTAACAACCAAGCAATGACCTTCATGGCTGAAATGTTCAATCTTTGTGGCTTCCCCATCTTCACCAAACTCAACAACACGATTGATTGAAGACTGCATTGATTTAGCTGAATTTCCATCTTCACCAAACTCAACAACACGATTGATTGAAGACTGCATTGATTTAGCTGAATTTCCATTAAGCTCCTCACATTGGCTTTCTCGCTCAACCACATCGAAAAATCTTGGATTCTCCAAGGCACAACTCACATGGACAATGTAGTTGCAACCGTATTTCACACGAGTAATTCCCACGCTAAAGGCTCACTTCATTGAAACAAATCTTACAATCTTTTCTTGTAAGCTCTCGTGTTTCAAGAAAATATTTGTGAAAAAGACAATGATAATGTCGTGAAAATTTGATAATGCGTGGGAGTGAAATGCAATTTTTATGGACTGTGATGCTACATGTCGAACATATATAAGACATATAATGTCCGTCAGTGTCACATGCATCACAAATGAATGAGCCTTAGTCTCCAAAATAAGGTAAATAGGTGGTGATGGTTGCTTTTATCTTCAACAATAGGCACCGCGCAAGAACATAAAATATTGATCTTAAAATCGCAAAGAGAACAACAATAAAAGAATTCAAAATGATTCGCTTGGCATAGTTTGCAAAAGAGAGATTTCTCACTAGACTCAAGAAAAAGAGGATGTGTGCGATGGGAAGGATGTTTAAATTTACTGGATCCATCAATGCATGTCTCATGAAAGATGCGAGGACAATCAAGACAAATATATAATGCACCAACTTAGGGGTCATGGCAACAAGAGCAATGCAAGCTTTTGTGTTCGTCCATGGGACTTTGAATGAAGGTCAATGGATATGGGTGGAAGTCAAAACATGACTCATGGTTGACCTTACTATTTGAAGAAGATAAATCAGCACATTTGATGTCAAGGGAAAAGTAACAAGTATCACATTCATAAAAGAACATGTTACGTTTCTTCTTACATAATGCACAACCATATACCCTAGCACTAGGAGATGGCCTTTCTCGGAGAAAAAACATTGAGTGTCGGGGATGAAGAGGGTGATCGGAAATTGAATAGGGTGCAAGGGCACACTTCTTATGAAGGTGATAATTGCAGAGGGCACAACTAAAGCATGGATCTGAAATCACATCCCCACATGTTGAGCAGTAAGGTTTCTCACCTTCATTGCTTTGTTCTTCCGCAAACACCAAGGGATGCTCATGAAAAGGATGCTTAATCTCTCTTATTCCCCATCTCCATTTGTGTTTTGTGAGTAATGAATTAGATGGAAGGGAATGATAACTAGTTGTTCAAACAATAAATAAGAATTTCTTACAAAAAGAGATTAAGGAAAGAAAAAAAGAAGTATTTTAACATTAGCAAGTAAGGTACAAACAAGAGTGACTTGAACCGAAAGCTAAATTTGATATGCTAAGGCATCTTAGAATTCTCTCCTCTTTGGTTAAAGCATTGTGCTTTGCTTATTTATAAGGATAACCCTTTTTCCTTTTGTTAGGACTCTCGACACTTTAAAAAAAAGAAAAGGAAAGCATGGTTCACGGTTAAAATGGAGGAGAAAAAATATAGATTTTAATCCTCGGTACAATAGCTTCATAGATTTTGATTTTTTGATATTTTTATAATTTAGTCACTAAAATTAAAACTTTAAAAATATTCAATTTAGGCACTTTTATAAATTCAATTATAATATTTTAAATTATAGTCAATATTCTAAAAATCATTTAAACCCTTCTAAAAAATATGCCTCAAATAAAAATCCAAAAATTAATATTTTATCAAAAATTCATGGAATTGCCTTATTACCGACTTGAACTACTTATCCATATTTTGGGACGTTACAACATGGTTTAAAATAGTGCAGCTCCCTACGCGTTATTTGGAGTCTCGTTGGTCACTCGAAGGCTTACAGAGGACTGTGTTGCGCTTTTGGAGAAACTGGATGTTAAGGTCAACAACTGGACCTCCAAGTTCCTCTTGTATGCGGGTAGATTGCAGCTTATACAAAGTGTTTTGTTATAATGTACAAGCATATTGGTGTATCCTAAAGCTATTGTTAAGAGGATGGACCAACTATGTTCGAGGTTCTTTTTAAAATGGGATAATAGGCATGGGAAAGGGGCTAGACTGAGTTGGGAGGCATTGTGTAAGCCAAAAAATGAGGGTAGCTTAGGGCCACGAGAGTTGGATACTTGGAATTACGCGAGTATAGGGCGTTAGTGTTGCTGTTCTTTTGTTGCTTAATCCCCTGGTTTATTGGCTGTTGGTTGCTATAATAGGTTTCCCTGCTTCTTTGAGTAATAAAATTCTTCAATTATCCAAAAAAGAAAATTTTAAAACATAAATGATCTATACGATGATCCAAACTCTATTGGTTTCAGACCCAGAAATAAAAACTTGAATCATCTATGTTCAAAACAAAAACCCATATGATCTGACCCGATCCGTTTAATTGGTGATAACCACTTTTCAGTTCCACGTTGAAGCAATCGAGTAGCAATGCAAAAATCATAAAGAATCTTATATAAAATTGAAAGGGGAACCAGTTCCCCAAAGATTCTCAACTAAGCCAACAATTCCTTTTAAAAACTCCAAACCCATTTAGTAATACAAAACTTGTACTAAATCGAAAAGAAAAAAAGCCTAATACAATCCGCCGGCATCTTTGTGGTGGCAGCAATTGACAATGTAACAAACAGATTATATTGTAAAAATTAAATTTGAAGTAATTGACAAAGAACATACAAAATTAAGAGTCCAATAGATTGACCATGTTACCTCGCCGTACAAATCCGGAAAGACTCAAAATGTCGCAGCAAAGCCCTCAGCCTTTAGGTGACTCTTTCATGCTTAGAAGATTCCGATGGACTATGCTTTGACACTGCAGGTAGTAAAACATTCCGTATGCTCTGAATTAAACTGACAACTTCGTCGGCAATATTGCAGCATGCTGTTGACTTTTCATCTTTCTCGACATTGGCTTTGAAGGGTCATTCTGGTGCAGAAGATAAGGTTTCCTTGTGACCATGTTGGTGATTGCAAGATGTCATCCATGAGAACTGCAAATTATGGGTATTCCAGCATGTAGCATTTGCATATGCTTTCTCTGCGGATTGGCGTGCTCTGTAAGTTATAAGAACTGAGCAATTATTTGATGCCTCTGATCCTACTTCATCTTCTTCCATATCTTGTAGTTCCACAGATACAAGATCACCATATTGTGAGAAGTGTAGCTTCAAAACATCAACCTAATTGACATACAGATTTCAGTAACCTCTCATTGATAACAAAGAGAAATATGAAAACCTCTCATAGAGTTTATGCCATTTGGTACGTTTTAATTTAGCTTGAGTTGTCGGTAAGTTTGGGGGCCAAGAACATCAGCCCCAAAAATAAAGCCATGTTCCTACAATATGGCCAATGGATCAAAATGCTGCGGTTAAAACACGGTGTAGTTCAGTTATAAATATCATGTAAAAACTAGAAAGCACATAATTTGGATTATTCATTTTCTTAACGGGTCAAACAGCTTTCAAACATACGCATGTGCATATGAGGACCTTCAAAGTAAATAGGAAAACTATGTAAAAAAATGAACACACCAATATTTTGGTTCCGGATACATCCCCGCATCCAACACTCATACATGTGTCCAAGTAACACAGCATAAGTATATTTGAATGTACTCCTATATTTTGTTTGAAAGAAAATAATTAATTATCACATGTTTTATGTTATGCCTTTCAGGCTTTCACCTTTGGAGTAATTTATCATTCCAAACACACCAAAAGATTCTTTGTGATATGTGTTTCCATTTGTTTTTACAGTTTTTTTTTAAAAAAAAAAGAAGAATAATTACCATAAAATCTCATTATAAAATATGGAGCAAACGCAAATTGCTTAGAGGAAAAGGAGAGAGAGAGAGAAGCTCACATCAGCAAAACCGGAAGGTAATGGTGGAATAACCCAAAAAGAAATAGGTCGGTTGTCCAACTTGTATTTGTTCATCATGACTGGGTGCCGAACAGGTGCTGACACACAAGAAAGCTGCATTGAGCTTGTAGGTTCTAGCAATGCCATGGGGGTAGATTTTGGACTATGGGACACGTCATTCTCTGTTGATTTGCTTTCATCCGTCATCCCTACAGTGCATGGTGTTACTACAAAAGGTTCAGAGGAACTTGAAGTAGAAGCTTTTGCAGGATCAGCCACAATTTCCACCTTCTGCCTCTTAGGAGCTTGTCCAGACAGTAGCGAACCCTTGACACCACTAGACTGCACAAGTTGAAACAAAAATAGATGTTAAACCAACTAAAATAAGGAGTAATATCCTATATCAAAACTGTAAAACCCTAATGTTCTGTTTTTCCATTGCTACCAACTCATACCAGCATGCTGCATGAGTATGTATTATGTGCATAAATGGCAAATGCCCACCATCGAAATTACATATCACTGGTGAAAGCATTCTAGTTCCTTAAAAAAATATACTATGAAAATATGCAACTTCTAAACCTGCTTGCTATACACAAAAGTTCTTGGAACATGTAAATTTACTTGAGCATTTACTTGGAATCATATTAGGACTATGGTACATACAGATAAACTTCTAAACCTGCTTTGCCATACACAACAGTTCTTGGAACATGTAAATTTACTCAAGCATTTATTCATAATCATATTAGGACGATGGTATATAGGTAAAGAGAATCCTCAGTACTTGTTTCTGAAGCTTGTCTAACTGGCGCCTGAAGTCATTCCGCTTCTGCTCCAGCATTTCCTGCTTCTTGCGTAGTTCCTCTTTCATCTGCTCCAGAGTCTCTAACTTTTTCTGCAATGGAGGTGGAGCCTTGGGACCATTCATATTAACAAGCTTAGGGGAATTTGGAGAAGGCACATCAGCACCATGGACAACATTGCTTTTCTGACCAATTGATTGAAGATTATCCTTTTCTCTATTAGCAACAGGCTGTACTTGAATAACGGAAGCTGTTAGACCACACGGATTTACTGCTATGCCAGTGCCACTATCTACAGCATCAGGTACGCTATCTCGATTAGCCCACCAGAGCTTAATAAAGCGGTTTCCCATTACAGCATCAGGTGACTTCAGAGCAGCTTCTGCCTCTTCCCTCTTTGAGAACTGGACAAAGGCACGCTCGCTATTTGATGGAATATAAATTTCAATAACCTGTCCAAACTTACGAAAATGAGATAGAAGAGCCTCACTTTTGTTGCTTTTTTGGGGAATCCCATTGACAAACAGTGTACGAAGTGCCTTCTGAGTTGGTTTTCTGCTATTACATGTACTATCATTCTGTGACTTGAGTGACAAATCCATTTTGGAGCCATCATCCTGGGTTCTGATCTGCTTTACCCGATGGGAAGTGCCTTGAGAACATGGAAATGTTTCTTGTTTTCCCTTGGTTTCATCCTGAAGATAGTTCAACGGTGTGAGGTTGGTCTTCCGTTTTGTATCTATTCTACTTCTTGAGCCACGAACTCTACCCCAATCAGACAAACTTGTTCCCTGTGACCCAGTACTTCTAATAGGCAATTCATTATCGTGCAAGGACCCCGTTTCATGAACCTTGGGTGAATGTAGTCCTGAGAGAGAAGTTGTTGCTTCTGACCCATTGTTATTCCACAAAGGCTGATCAGGATCATATAAATCAGCCCCATTGACACCAGTAGAATCAGTATGTACACCATTTGAACCAATGGCATCACCAGTCATTCCGGGTTTGCTACTTTTGCCATGTATACCATCACTGTTCATTAAAGAGGTTGAGGGAGGAACACCTGATGGTAGTGGTCCAGGTACAGAAGGGGTTGCTAATAGCTGTGCAGTTGGAACCGTATCAGGAAGGTTAAACTGTGACAGACTCTGCAAATCAGAAAAGAACTGGCAAATTAATAATGGAGAGCGCTATCTGTTTCGAGGTGATAATAAAACATCAAATTCAAAGAAGGAGTTTCAGACAGCATGTACATTATGAATTGGATATTCAGTTAGATGACACTATAAATTGGAAAAGAAGCCACTCCACCAGTCAATATAGATCATTGAGCAAATACCTATGATGTTAGAATAGTCTAATTGCATTGATCTCTTTTTGTGTAGTGCATTTAGTCAATAATTAAAGAAGAATATATCTGTAAGAATAAATTTCATGATTAGTGTAATGCCACCATGCTATCTGGAGGCATCCCTTCATCAAGATACTTAAAGAGCAACAGTGAAGGAAGCTAATCTACTAGAGAACCGAATCAGGTAATTTGTCTGGTATGCATGTCCCTTTTGTTAGTTAGGGCATTGTCAAGAAGATAAATAGAACAGCAGGGCCCAGGTAATGAAACTAAAGCAACAAGAATATAAGTCCTGCCTTTGGTGGTAGTGCAGCACTGTGATGAAGGTAAATGGCAACATAAAAATGTGCTAGAAAGGAAATGTTAACAGTTAAAAACCTTCTTTGCACATTGCCCATCCTACACTGCTGGTAGCCTGACAAGATAAACCAGATGAACATGGTAGCCTATTGCATTACCATCTGACAATTTTTAATCTATATTTTTGTCAAGGCTCATGGAAAACTGTATAAGCCACCACAAGTCGGAATCAAGATGGACATTATGGAAATCCTTACCTGAACATCTTCCACAACAATGTGATTGATACCATGCTCCATTGGGCACATGTCTCCTCGTAGACAAAAACCACGCTCCTCATAATCTCTACAACGCTGGTGGTGAATGCCCATATTCAATGAAGAATTCATTGGTTGCCTGAGCACCCCTCGAAAGCTAGTAGGATTGAGAGTATCTAGGCCATTTGGTATTCCAGGCATAAGCCCAAAGGCACTCCATGATGAGTTGTGTGCATTTGAAACATTTGGTAATCCCCTTCCGGGAAAGAGACTTGGAGCAACAGATCCTGGCCAAACCATCTGGGAAGCAATATTAACTGAACTAAACCTAGGATCACATTGATTCCAAGAAGAGAAATCCCTTCCTCTTCCCCTACCAGGACCAAAATCTCCGCTAAATGTTTGGTTTGGCCTTATTCTCTGGTTCAGATCCGAATTTTCTCTGGGAACTAACCGGGGGCGTCCTCTAAGAAAATTGGATGTCAAGTCTTTGTCAAGAGGCAAACAGTTGTAGTTTTTCCAGGTTTCACCTGCTTGATATTCATTCTCTCTCATAGGATGCCCATTTGCAAAAGGTTTATTGTGCTTTCTGTATGGCCTTCTAAAAACTGGATCCATAGAATCTGTCTCTAATGATTGAGAGCGTGTATCACGCCGGCGATGCTTGTGGTTGCGATCATCATCCTCTTCATCACTGACTTCCTTCGCCTGGGGATCATCAATACAATCAGGAGGAGAAAGACCACCAAGTTTAGGTGACGAAGGTTTCAGCTCCATTGGATCCTTTAGAAATTAATAACAAACACGTGTTCCTTTACAGCATGCACAGTTCCAGTCTAACCAAATGCAGCAGAAGACAGTATGAGAAGCAATTTGAAGGAAAATCTAAAATTAAGGGAAAGAGTTAAGGTATGTAATGACAACAGAAAATAGTATTAAACAAAGAAATAAAAGCAATTAAACTAAAAGATGTTAACTTGTTAAGAACATTTACATCAAGGGATGCCTAAGGGTAAAAGACACATGACCATTCAAAAGAAACAAAAGAAACAGCAGTTCATATGATCACATACAAGAGAACTTGATCTATAATACAACCATTACAACGAAGATAAGAACTCAAGCTAAATTAAGGAACACAAACAAAACAGATCCACAATCAAACCAAATTTCCATAGTTTTATTTATGATGGCAGATATTAGAAATCTTTTCAAATATAAATCTATCTATTGATGCTACAGAACACAGACAAAACATATCCACAATGACACTATAATTTGTCTTTGGGTAGTTAGTATGATTTCCATCCAACAATACTCTTAAGACTCCATCAAAAAGCATCTCATCACTAACTCAAGGAATTGATCTTGCATTTTCTACAAAATATGACTAGCATAAACTCTCAAGAAGACCTTACACTCAATAAAAACAAGCAAATCAATCGCCTACAACTGATACTAACATAAATACCAAAGAACACACAGAGTATGCTAAATGCAACTACGAAAACCATTATTTCAGCACTAAAGAGGTTTTCATGATCCATGAACCAATAGCTACCGAATGTTACAGAAAAAGCAGTTGGCAAATGTCTGCGGATCTTCTTTTTCGTGTACTTTTAAGTTACCATATTAACACAAACCAAATCAAGCATATCCGTACATCAATAAACAATAATCTAAACCAAATACTAAACCACCTATCAAGCTCGATAAATTAATAACTTACAATCATTTACACATTAATGAAAACTAAATACGACATATCAGTCAGCTCAAACTTATTAAACAAAAAATTCACCATAACTCGTTTACTTAGCTCCTTAAGCATGAAGTGAATTGTGATTCCTCATCTTTAACCTAAGGGAAACAACCTCAATAACAATCTCTAAAGTAAACTACTTAAAACCACATATTCCACTTAAACTACAATAAAGCTAAAAGCGACGAAAACCTACGCATAAAGTTAACAAGAATCAAGAACAATAAATAAAGAAGCAAAGCCTTATCCCAAAATTCTATGAAATAATGATATTTAAGCTCCTCAACCTATGGAATTTCACAGTCCAAAATCCAAATGAAAATGAACGCCGATTAAATCCAAGAAATTGAAATTCGAATAATCAAACAAACAAAATAATTTATGTTTCGTAAGGAAAAAACAAAAAATATATATTAGTTTTTCTTAAAAAAAAAAAAGCTTACGGAATATTCTAGAAGAATAGGAGCAATGTCTTCGAAGGTATCATTTGATTCCAGAATGAATCCGGTCCGACGTCGAAATAGGAAAGAATGTAATTTAGGAGGCGACGGGAGGGTATTTCAGGAAGAAAAATACATGACGGCGGTCGGAGAAAGGGTCAGGATTGTAAATAAAGTAATAATCGAATTGGTGGGGTTATGAAAGAATTTTAGAGGGTTAGAAGTAGCAGTGAGAATTTTTTTCCTTTAAAAAAACAAATATATATACAGACGAGATTTTTGACAGAAAAAAAGAAAGACAAAAGGAGTCCGTAAAAGGAATAAGGATAAATTACACTATTCATCACTTAGTTATCTTCTTAATCCTATTTAGTCAATAAAGTTTAAAAAGTTTAAATTTAACCATTCAACTTTTGAATTACTCATATTTTACTTACTCTATAATGATATTAATTATTTTATTATTATTTTCATATAACGTGACGAATTTTTATTACCCTTTTTATGTAATATAAGATTATAATAAAAATAAAATCCAAAACTGTATTTCTAAATATTATCCAAACTTTAATCCTCAAATTTATACACTAAACCCTAAAACTATACTACTCCTCCCTCTATTTCTCTACCTCCAACGCCGACTTCTCCACTTCCCACAATTCTTGGGATATTATCGTAAACAAGTAATCTTTGAATAAATTTCTTTTTTTTATCATTGAAGTTTATGATAACCACAGGGAGTCAAATGTTATCATTGCTATAAATTCCAAACTTGATTATAGAGAGGAGTTATTTAAGTGTAATTTTCATTTTTTAAGAAAGGTGATTCGAATATGGTAGAAGTGGTAGGGTATTTAGAGAGAATGAAGGCTTAATTAATACTTCATGATATAATTTGTGAATATTGTGAAAATCATGGGTGTTTGGAGAAAACTAAAGATATAAATTTTTAGGGATAAATTAGATATCGTTATTTCTATTTGATGTTTTAACAATAATTTAGAGATAAAATTAAATATTAACATTTTTTTAACATTACCATATCATCAACTTAACGGAACCAATAATGGATTGGCCATTTTGTTACAAATCGATAATGTTAATCATTATAATGTAAATTTTTAAACTTCAGTGATGAAAACAAATTACTCTAACATTAATGATTTGAATGTGTAATTTAACTAGAAAAAACAATCGAACTACAGAGATCTCCGTCTTACCGTCTATATTTGGTATTCAGTAGGCCTAACATACAGGGATTGTCTCAGGAAAGGCGGGTTAATATACGTCATTACCGGATACATTAAAATGTATTTAATAAATTCGGTTTAGCGGTACCTATTATGTTGACAACTAATAATGTTTTAGGTAGAAAATATGAAAAACTATTAAAAAATTTGGTAACCGGTAAACTTTGGTTATCGGTAAGTATATATCCTTTTAATAAAAGTATACATACTTTTAACATATCAAGTAAATTTTACCGGTTTTGTCATAATGAATCTGGTTTTGTCATATTTTTACCTGTTATATTGTAAAGTATCTATCTTTTTTTATAAAAGTGTCCATACTTATTTCACTGTGAAAATATATTTATTATTATCTTTGGTTAATATTGTTAAATTTAAATTCTAAATAATATTTTATAAAATATCAAAACAATCAAATAATTTTTTGTGTAAATGAAATTATTAAATTAATATTGTAGGTGGAAAACATGAAACACTATTTAAAAAAATTGAAACATAAATTACATAACTTTAAAAAAAGTATATATCATTTTTATAAAAGTGTCCATACTTATAAAAGTAGGTCTAAGTCATGAAGAAATATTAAAAAATTGTGCTACCGGTTCGTGTCGATCCAAATTAAAAATGTGTCGATCCAAAACGATATAACAGGTAAAACTATGACAAAACCGGTATAGAAATGATAAAACCGGTAAAGCGCTACCGGATATATTTAAAGTGTTGGTACTTTAATATAAGGATCGACACTTCGTGAATTTAAAAGAGAAGCAGTTTTAAATCCTATAAAGTGTCGATACTTTTAAAAAATGTATCGATCCAAAACGATATACCAGGTAAAAATATGATAAAATCGGTATCAAAATGATAAAACCGGTAAAACGTTATCGGATATATTAAAAGTGTCGATACTTTATATAAGGATCGACACTTTGTGAATTTAAAAGAGAAACAGTTTTAGCGCCTATAATGTGTCGATACTTTAAAAAAATATATCGATCCACAACGATATAACAGGTAAAAATATGATAAAATCGGTATCAAAATGATAAAACCGGTAAAATGATATCGGATATATTGAAAGTGTCGATACTTTCGTAAATACGTGTAATAAATTATCGACACTTTCAAAGAAATAGGTAATTATCCTTTCGAAAGTATCGACACCTGACATAAAAGTATCGACACTTTTGTATTTGTATCGATTAAATATAAATAACATATCCGATGAAAATATAAGCTAAATATCCTCTGAAAATAGATAGAACGGACGAGTTTTTGAAATCGAAGCGTAATTGTTGTTGCATTTCAGAAGGCGTTTCTAAAGCAAAGTTTGTTTGTTTGTTGCTGCAGTCGAATCGAAAAGTATGTTGTCGAAACCCTAATTTTTTATTATTACAGTAATCGCGATAGGGTTTTTATGTGTTGTTTGGGGTTTTGGAGTAAAGAAGCATTTGGGACCGTAGAAAGTGATATTCAAGGAAAAATATAAATGTCGATACTTTTATTAAATATTATAGGTAGAAAATGATATTATAGGTTGTATAAATGTGCCGACACATTTTGGTGTGGCCATTCAAATTCTTTTGAAGAAAACCGTTTTACCACAAGAGTAGTTGTCTATATTTGTATATTGAATAAAGTGTATGTAACAAAATAATTTGATTTGCGTAAACTGATATATGAAGGAAAAATGGAGTCAATGGGTTGGAAAATTGTTGGTGGAGCAGATGACTTTGAAATTGAGGCCGAGACTCGAAAGCAACCAAAGGGTGGATATATATACTTCTAGTAAGTATCAATGTCTTTTTGTTATTATTGTTGAAATGGTAATTGGATTAAAGTATCGATAAACTTTAAATTGATTACAAATTTTAAATGTTGACAGTATGGCCGAATGCAAAAGGATGAAGGAATGGCACACAGCGGTTCGGTATGTAAAATGAAATTAACATTGAGTAGTATTTAGTGTTAATGTATTGATTAAGAAACGTTTATGTTTTATATTAGGTGACAAAAGATGTGAGGTCCAAATGGAATTCAATGAGTGATGCTGAAAAGGAACCTTACATCACACAATCAAGGAATAATAGTAAAGAATACAAAGAACGGAGGAAAATACATGAAAATAAGGTATTCATGTATTCATTAAACTTGTAAATACGTTGATACAAAATATATAAGAACTATAACATTATATATTGTTAAAAAATGTAGGAAGTGTCGACAAGATGCAGCATTAAAAGGGTGAATTTATTAATTAAACACCTTAAGGAGAAGGGTCAATTGAATGTGCTGGGAGAAATAGGTTTTGGATCGTTGGTAGGA